CCTCGTTGTTGTGGAAACAGAGTTGGAGTCACTTGCCGGTATGGCAAATGTTCGGCGGTTGGAACTCCCATTTCGCAGGCCTGAAATTCAACCTATTCGCATCAAACGCAGATGCTAAACATACTATTTTGTAGAGCGATAGATTCCTCTAGTTTTTGAGTGATATACGGTTGACGTCAAAACGTGAACTTTTTGTGAGAAAAATCCCATTTGATAACGGCTCCACTTCTGAGACAACCTTATATGTTGCTGTTGGATGAGGTGAAAACACCATAAATAACTGTGGGTTGGTTTCCAGGTTTCGTGCTCTCTCCATTCGCGGTTGCATATGACGCCTTGGCGCTATTACCTTTTCAACTGTTTTCGATTGAAGTTTGGCGCTTAATCACATGCCATTTTGTTGGCCATAATGTACTTTTATTCGCGTGGACGATTTGGAGTTTGCATTTTGGAACGAATCTCATCAGACAGAATAACAGCAATGAGAGTTTGCTGAAAATTTACGCCATCACGCAGGTAAGACGCGCATGAAGAATTCAGGAGTTGCCATTTAACGGTCTATTTTGATAGATTCTGACGGTCCTCATAGTGTGTGGGGCAGCTTACGGTCTCTACGCGTTCGCAGCGAAAACTACACTTCTCTACAAGGCTTATGTTGTGGACATGGTGCCTCTCAACTGTGCTGTGTTGATCCTAATCAAGCAAGTGCGTGGTTTTGGGTTATATACAGTCTTTTTTAATATCAAAAATGCAGTCCATGTTTTTGATGCATGAATAAGGCGAATCGTGAAGATGGCAAGGCTTTGACGTACCATCTGCAAATCACCACCATTGAAACATTTTGTTTAGTTTCTACCGGACACCATCCTTCTTGATACTCCCCTTGGTCGAATCAAGTACACTCACATGCCTATTTTGGCCGTTCTATTCTTGTCGCTGTTTTCCGTGGTGGGAGTAGTAAGACCAGTGAGTTCTACTATACTTTACTTTGCTAATCTCATCGAATGTTCTTTTTTCGATTCAAGGTAGTGGTTCTGCAAAGTGTACTTGCCATTCAAATTTCATGGACCTATCTTCGTTTCTTCAATCCACAGGATTCCGAAGGGACGTATGGTGACAGCAGTGAGCACTTTGTATGGGCAAGGTAGGTTTGGCTGTACATACAGCGATCACCGTTGTTATTTCTCTGGTAAACTTTAAAGTGATACTTCAGCCTATTCCCTCGTATTTTCCAACCATTTTGCACTGTTCTGGGTCGCATTTGCTTCAGAAGTCTTGTGAAGTTGGGAGTTTGCAAGAGAACGGTAAGTATGTTATGCTCTTTTATTTTTTCCCGGTTGCTAAACGGGCGTTACACTTCTACCGAGGGCGAATGAAACAGTACCGAAGAAGACGTAAACATTTTCGCTTGCAGTAGCTGTAGGCGTACCTAGTTATTCATGAGTTTGTAAATTAAGAAACATTGTCACTCAATAGAAAGTGTTTCACTGGTTTTATTTCTTAGGTTCAACTCAGGCTTCGTGAGTAATCTGTAACCTTTTCTAATATTTGCTAGGCTTCTTCTATAAAACCAATTACAGGTTCGTCACGTCGACCTCAATTCGCTACAGAGTGTAGGAATAACTTTGCGCGGACTCGACAGCACAGCTCGTGACGCTGAAAGACGAAGGTGAGGCCCAAATCCCGATTCTCAAATTCTCATACTGTGAGGAGATGATGAAGCTATTGACTTATACTGCTGAAATTGACGAACTTGATTTTGCGTCGGTGCAAATGTGAACAAATCTGATTAGTGTGCCCAGAGAAAAGATGATGATATGGTAAGAAAAAAGTCGTTTAGATGTAAGTGAGCTTTTTCGCAGTATATGCTTCTAAAACATCTATTTTTCTTTCTTCCTTTTTTCTTTTTACGTTTTTCCTCTTTCATGATAGCTGTTTACCAGTACTGCCATTCTTTTTGGTTTCATTCTTGGATCGTGCGGCAGTTACTACCCACGCATGTACCTACTTGACCCGTTCGCTCCAAATTAGTTCCTCAAGGGTGTAAACATTTGAAAATTGCATGATGATAAGTCTAGGGTACTAGGTTTATTAGGTTGATGAGAATTGTCATCATTTATAATAAGTTGGATGGTCCAATGATAGACGATGGAGTTACGTCTGTTTGCAGTAGAGAAGAAAACAGATATGCGTGATACGAATCTATTTGAGACCATTTCCGCTGCGGGATATTTGATAAGCTTCGTGCTGGTGCAAAACACCTTGTCAACTTCTCGCTTGGGTCCATTCTACGCAGTTACTACTCAAAATACAAAAAGGTCGACGAGATTAGCGTGACGGAAGGAAAAGAAAATAAAGTGTAGTAGTGTAGACCCTCCTTACGAGGTAAATCCTGTGGAATAAGATGAAGGGAGCCTGCAGTTCTGAAATCGATGAATCAGAGGTCGATAAAAAAAGTTGCTAGTGAAATAGTCTCTTATAATGAGTCAGTGATGGGTGAGTAATGAATTGTTGTGAAGGAAGAGTACGAAGAAATGTCTGTGTGATGCTTTCGAGTTTCCCTTTTTAGGCAAAAAGCGCTTCGTGACCTTAATGAGCGTCTCAGTAAAACAAAGAAGGTAGAGACAATCGCGTGGGAGGAGGACGCAGACGACGAGAAAAATGTTCCCGGTACTACTGAGCAGGGCAAAGTGCACGAGAGTGGACATCGGGTTAGTTTCTTTTTGTGATTTCAAGCAACTTTTTTACTATTCTGTTTGACCTGCGTCTTCTACTTCCACTGGAGGTCTCTTTCTTATTTTAATTCTGCATTTTTTCGACTTATTCGCGCTGTATGTCTCATCCTCATCCCGTTTATTCTCTTCATGACTAATTAAAAACACCTCCACTTCTGTAGCATCGCACTATGATTTGATTACAGGGGCCACTCTGAATACTCCATGATATGCAAAAGGTAAAAGGGTTTTTTGATTGGGTTTGATACAATAAGGCTTCATTGTAATATTATTCAATAATTAATGTACGATAAGGGGTGCAGATCTAACAGCACCTAATAACACGAACTATTCGGGGGTTTAACCTTTCGGATTCCGTGGAAAAAATTTTCTTCTTGCTATTGTTTATAACTTGTGGGCACATAAAAAAAAAGGATAAAGCATTTGCCGTTGATCAATCCCTTTTTGGGATGCGGCACGCATTCTACTTCCATTTGTACATTCGTAGTGGCGTTTGAATGCGATGTGGCCTATACAATGACTTGCGGGGCCAGCCGATGTACAAGTCAGTGTTTTTATCCTCCCAGACAAGTCTGGTACCAATTAACCGAGGGATGGAAGGCTTGGTTGGCCCGGGCGACTCACGACCCAGGATTTGATCATTGATGACTTGAAGGTTGCCAGGAGTAACCTATAGTGGTGGATAGTAAATAAATAGATAGAATAGATAGTTAGAATAGAATAGATAGTAAATCAAATAAAGATCCTACTTATATTATTTAAAGCCTAAACTTTGTGTGTCGGTTTTGTGTATCTGTATGTGTGTGAGTGTGTGTGTGTGTGTGTATGTGTGTATGTGTGTCCGTCCGCAAAATGAAGTGAGTGAGAAGGAAGCTCATGGGATAAACAAACCGCTAACAAATCGGGTAGCTTACAGGATTTGAGATATCAATGTTTTGTAGCAGGATAGTTGTGATAACACTCTTAGGGCTATATAAACACCTGCTTAGCACACTTCCGTTCATTCCACATGGTGCTGCAGTGGCAGCTGGAGGGCAGTGGAGAGAGGAAGGGAGGATGAGGAAGGGAAGCGAAAAATCTACCGTCATATCATGATTGTGTCCCTTCTACTGTATGAAACACCATTGTGTTGCATACGCGTCACTTCCAGGAGGTGTTGGTGTCGAAAGGAATAAGAGTTGCGATTCAAAGGAAGTCGGCGTTGAGGGGGATAATCTGGTAGTTTAAAATATGCTGGCCGCCCACCGTAGTGCTTCAGTCCTGGTGAGGTTTGACCTCTCCCTGCCTGGCGACATGGCCACCGCCAGGCAGAGAAATCAAATCAAGGCGGTTAAAAAATACACAAAAAAGGAAAAATTCATATCAGGATAGCCTTCTCCTTTTGAGGTCCTTGGTGTCGCGCATTGGCTCTTAGATCTTCCTGCTGACGTTCATACGATCATTCCCTAAAACAGTTCTCTCAGATTGATGCTAGATTATTTTTTTCCACATTTTTCAATTGTATCGTTTCCAGACTAACGACGAAGAAGTTGTGGTGGAGCCGAGCACTACCGCGCAGCCATCAGAGAGTGCCGAGTCGCGCGCATAGGCTTCTAATTAAATATTTGTTATTATGTTATGTAGGCGATCGCTCGTGATACTTTCGTGGGGTTCTGCCGGATGTTTTTAACGGTGTAACATTCGATTTTTGGTGTGATATTTGAGAAATTCATTCATGGTGGTAAAGTGATATGGAAAAGCAGTAGCTTATTCAACTTCTTATCGTCAGCCTTATTTATAGCAGATAGAGTTTCCGGGTAACTCATCATTACTGCTTCCTCCATCGATCTTATTTCCTTTTATTGTGAAGGTCCTTCCATCATAACTATTAAAATCGTATGCATAGGGTTGCTCGGCAGGTGGTCAGGCTGGGGCGATTTTGGCTCAACCGCTTTTCAAAATTCTTCAGCGGATAAGTTTAGAGTTCACCCGCGCCGACGCGGGGCCGTGGACATCTGCAGTGTTATATCACGCGCGGTGGGTTCGAGCGACAAGTGACGTGCATGACCGTCTCTGCCCTCTTCGAAGCACGAGCTATCTCACTCTTCTGCGCTCTCACACGTTTCCACGTTGAGAGGCTGAAATCTGCGCAATTTTTTGGCGCCTGGCTCGGAATAAATGGGTGTAAGGAAACTCGGGTGCAAGCAAGAGGTTTGAGCGTTGAGAGACACATTCTGCATTAGCTGATATTAGATAGACGTAATAGGGGCTAAGTCCTCCTCTTGTAATCTTTATAAGGGTTTTGGTGTTTGAGCCACTTTCAACCTAGCCTGAAACCCTGCTGAGCATTTATACCTGCGAGCCATATTATAATTAATGGAGAGCGATGTAATCGTAGTATTTTTGCTGCCGTGGTGTTCTGTTCTTCCCTAGATTGTATGGGTAGTGCACAAGCCTTTACTAACATTGCTAGCCTTTTTGTTCCTCTTTTTGTTTTGAGATGATTGTTAATCGAAATTTATATAAAGAGTGGAAATGTACGAGGAATGAAGTAATGGTTGACGTCGTTGTTCTTCATCGTCCGGTCGTGATGACGCAGTTGACCGTGACGAGCGGAAGGAGTCGAGCAGTCCGAGGCGGGTTGGTTGAGCGTCTCTTCCACCGGAACACGCGATGGCAGCCCGCTTTGAACCATTAGAAGCAGTAGTAGCGAAGGGCTAAATTTAGCCTCTAGTTCCGCTGACGGCATTTTGTTGAGGCCTATATAAGGAGAGATGAGACAAGCGAGGACGCCGTTTAGTCGCTTGTCGTTTGCGATGAGCTCGCGACATCTTGTTCTTTGTTTTTGTCCATTACATTTTTATCCCTAAGACGTTAAGTTCTTCGAATTCTTTTGGTTCATGGCCTTCCACAGCACTTGTTCATTTTCAGCTCAAGCAAGGCTAAAAATGGAGACGTTACTGCTTTTCGTCGTTATTTCCACGATCGCTCTTTCTGCGGGATTCGCCTATGATGATGAACGTAACACAGGTGACAGCTGTTTTGAATACGTAGAGCAAAGTAAACATTGAACGCGTAGATGGCTTGGGAACGAAGGGATTCTCCATCGCGGGTACCCCCCAGGAGGCCCGTCGCAATTTCATTTTCCAAACTGTAGGATGGCCTTTCCTGGTGTCTTTTTGTTGTGAGTTAGTGCATCTAAAGCTCCTTCCTGTTACGTTCATTCCTTGATCATTGCTAAAACAGTTCCTCTCAGAATTAAAGCTAAGATTTTTTTCCACATTTTTCAATTGTATCGTTTCCAGGCTTAACGACGAAGAAGTTGTGGTGGAGCCGAGCACTAACCGCGCAGCCATCAGAGAGTGCCGAGTCGCGCGCATAGGCTTCTAATTAAATATTTGTTATTATGTATGTGCGATCTCTGTGATACTTCGTGGGTTCTGATGTTTTTTTAACGGTGTTAACATTCGATTTTTGGTGTGATATTTGAGAAATTCATTCATGGTGGTAAAGTGATATGGAAAAGCAGTAGCTTATTCAACTTCTATAGTCAGCCTTATTTATAGCAGATAGAGTTTCCGGGTAACTCATCATTACTGCTTCTCCATCATCTTATTTCCTTTTATTGTGAAGGTCCTTCCATATAACTATTAAAATCGTATGCATGGTTGCTCGGCAGGTGGTCAGGCTGGGGCGATTTTGGCTCAACCATTCAAAATTCTAGGATAGTTTAGAGTTTCACGCGCGGCGCCCGTGGACACTTCTGTCAGTGATCGCGCGCGGTGGGTTCAGGGCAGCTTTTAAGTCATCAATGATCAAATTCCGGGTCGGTTAATTGGTACCAGACTTGTCTGGGAGGATAAAAACACTGACTTGTACATCGGCTGGCCCCCGCAAGTCATTGTATAGGCCACATCGCATTCAAACGCCACTACGAATGTACAAATGGAAGTAGAATGCGTGCCGCATCCCAAAAGGGATTGATCAACGGCAAATGCTTTATCCTTTTTATTTATGTGCTCATCAAGTATAAACAAGCAGCAAAAAGAAAGTTTTTCCACGGAATCCGAAAGGGTTAAACCCGCGAAAAAGTTCAGGTGTTTTATTAGGTGGGGATGTTAGATTCTGAGCTCGCCCTTATCGTACATTAATTATTGAATAATATTACAATTAAGCCTTATTGTATCAAGCCCAATCAAAAAACCCTTTTAACTTTTGTATATCATGGCGGGATAGTATTAAGAGTGGCCCCATGTAATCAAATCGGAGTGTTGTTACAGAAGTGGTGTTTTAATAATTCATGAAGGGAATAAACGAGATGAGGATGAGAGATACAACGCGAAGGTCGAAAAAATGCAGAATTAAAATAAATAAGAGACCTCCAGTGGAAGTAGGGGACGCAGGTCATATAG